AAAATAAAAAATAAAAAAAAAAATAATTTTAACAAGATGTTTTTAGTAAAGTGTGTCTGCAGACAGAGGATTTAATTACTGGGATGAGAGTACAAAAAAATTAAATTCTTTTGCTGCAGAAAAAAAAAAAAAATGAAAGTGAGGGGAAAAAAGAAAGAAAAAAAAAAAAAGTGTGTGGACTCATGATAATGCCTTTTCCATTATTGTGAAATATCAATCCTCATATGCATTTATAGTCTTGATATTCTCATGTTACTTCTTTTCTTCAAGATTCTACTCTTCACAACAATATATATATATATATATATTAAAGATTTAGATTTAGGTTCAGGGCGAAACCACATATATGGTCGGAGAGGTGCTGGCCCCTCCAAAAAAAAAAAAAATTTCGAACTAGGGGTGGAGGGTTTTGCTGGAACTGGAAGGGCGCCCTTTGAACGCCCTTCCGATGCCGGAGTGGGGGTGGTGCTCCGCGGGATGGCCGGAGGGGCTAGATTGTATTTTTATTTTGTATAATGTTATTTGAACGATAATTTAAATAGTTTGCATTTATTTTTGTGTTTGTGTTTGGTTTTGTCGTGAAATTTTTTTTTAAAGGCAAATTTGGCCCTCCTCGAAACCACTGTTTAGGTTCATTATACAAATATGTTTATTTCTTGTTATGCAGTTTTGATTATTCAAGAAGTGCTTGCTTTGAGAGCAAAATAAAATGAGCAAATACAATGAGAAGAAGAAAAAGGAGAGAAATTCATGCTGTGAAAGAGAGGGTTTGAGGAGGGGAGCTTGGACTGCTGAAGAAGACAAGATTCTTGTTGATTTCATCACAAAAAATGGGCATGGGACTTGGAGAAATCTTCCTAAACTTGCAGGTCTAGGTTTTATTTATTTATTTATTTACTTTTTAATTAAAAAAAAGTTTAATTTATTATATATTCAGCATTGTTATTATCTAACTAATTTTCATCTAAATGCTTTGAGTAAGTAAACATTTGTGTTCTTAGCTCAGATAAATCATGATAACAAAAGATGAAAAAAAAAAGGGTACTGAAATGGGGTTCTTATGGTTGTAGTAAATTAAAAAATTGAAAAAAAAAAAATGATACATATGTTGAGATTAAATGCTAAAATAAATACACATTAACTTTTGATGCTAATGTGTATTTTCTTGTTTATTAGTAGATATAATCAAGTACCAGTAAGGATTGATTGGGCAACCTTATTTTGGTGATGTTGAAAGTTTTAATTTGATATACTTATATAGCCTACTGTTAATCCTCTCTGCTGATTTTTTTTTTTCTTTGTTTTTGGGGCATTTCATTTATGTGTTTAGCGGTGCATAAATTCCGGCAGGCACGTCATAATATGTTGAAAGTCGGTGGAGAAATGGCCTTGGATGAAAGTTAAAGAAGAAAAAGAAAATAAAATAGTAATTTCGCTAAGCGCCAGACTAGGCGTTAAGGTGTTAGGTGGGCTCGGTTGGCGCCTAGCGCCAGGGGCGGATTGAGATAAGGTCCAGCCTAGGCAACTGCCTAGGCTGAAATTCCACTTACAAGCATAATTGGCAATCATTTCCCATAATATATTGTATAAAAATTGCAAAAATAAAATTATATAGTGAAAAAACATGACATCTCACTTTTGTTTTGGATGCAAATCAGACTTTTAGGCATCTCATTGGCTATTAAATGACAGAACAATCATCATGATCATAATAAAATAAGTGGGTATAAAAAAACACACTTACATATTTTCTCAATTAATTTCATTAATTATCTAATAACAAATTAGCATTATCGATTTATGGTTCTTCGTATAGTAATGTAAATGTGTCTCAGTTTTAGTTGGCAACTTGAACGGTGTAATTGTATATAAAAAATCCAATCAAAAATTAATTACTTTTCATCATTCATTTTTTATTTAATTTAAAATCCAACTCAAATTTAACTGGATTTTAATATCCTTAATATTATCAATATAATCATCCTTACACATCACATATCAGATTAGTGTTAGGCAGGTCTACGATTATGTGGTCATACTTTTCCAATAAATATTCATATTTTTAATTAAAGTATCACTTTAAAAATAATATAACTTAAAGTATGGTATTATATAGCATTAACCATTAGTAAACATTTTTATTGAGAAATAAGATGAGTTAACTCGCCTAACGGTTAGATCGCCTTATACGATAATTATGTTTTTTTTTTTGCCCAGGCTCATAAACATTTCTGTATCCGCCACTGCCTAGCGCTTTATTTCTTTTCATGTCGCTTGTTTGGTTTAGAAGAAAAAAAAATGGTATTAACAATTCAAACGCGTTGAATTCGAATAACTCTTGCTGAAAAAACGGATAAATGAATAGGAAAATGATGAGAGAATTGTACAAATGCAGAGTAACTTAAAACACAGCTTTGGTTTTGTATCTGCTTTTGTCACCACTGAGTTCACTTTGCTTGAGTGTTACATCAAAACAAGCTAATTATCTGAGTTCTAATAATTATTCCAAAAAAAAAAAAGTGAAAAAAGAGTTCTTATCCCGAAAGAAGGATTTGTCGATTAAATTACGCTTACTTGGCATTTACTGTTGCTGGTACTGTATTTTGTTCTTTTCCGATGCTATAGTTTATCACGCCTCGTATCGTGAAGTGCGCGTATGCATATATTATATATCTATATATATATACACATTTACTCGGCATGGCGAAAGTCATTAATTTCGAGCTAGTATCATCACCATAACAAGTGTAAGGTATTGTGAATTTGTTATGCTAGTGAAAAGATGTGTTTCATGTTTTAGATTTATAGAATGAAAACATTGCACAACTATAGGTCTATAATGGCATCATCAACTTCTTCATAATCGACATCGACGAATATTAAAATATTCAAAAAGTATAATTCTCAGCTTCTACATACAAAAAATGCTCATTTTTCAGGCTATAATAAGCTAACAAAATTGAGAATAATCATAGTTAGGAAGTGGAGCTTAGTCTTTCAAAGTCATTTTTCTGTCATGCATTATATATGTTGTTCAATATATGTTCTGTCGTGATAACATGAGAGTTTTTTTTTTTTTTTTTTTTTTATTAATATAATGTGCCATGAATTGATTCACAGGGCTCTTTCGATGTGGGAAGAGCTGTCGACTTAGGTGGATAAACTATCTTCGACCCGACATTAAACGTGGTCCTTTTAGTCCCGATGAAGAGAGCACGATTATTCGACTTCACGAGTCGATTGGCAACAAGTAATCACTCTACATAACCTTGCATTTGTTTAGTCGACTGACAAAAAAAAAAAAAAACGTGTTTGTAACATTTGTGAACTTTAGGTGGGCCACCATAGCCTCGCACTTGCCGGGAAGAACAGACAACGATGTGAAGAATTTTTGGAACTCTCACTTGCGAAAGCGCTTTAGCAATAATAAAACTGTTGACCCGAAACCGAGCTCTCCCCTAACCCGCCACATGGCGCAATGGGAGAGCATCCGCCTCGAGGCTGAGTCGCGCCTCTCGGCAAAGACTGCAAATGTGGTGGGCCCGCAGGGCGATTACTACCTAAACTTGTGGAACTCGGAAATCGGGACCTCCTTCCGGAAGGTCAACGAGCTCGAGTTGACTGGTTGTTCCCAGATGTCGTCGTCGGTCACGAAAGTCGACGCGTGCAGTAGGAAGGAGGCAGATGATGACGTGGCGGCTCGTTCGGACATGACTTCAGATCAGACAATGCTGCTGCAGGATGACTCGCCCGATGCAATGATGAAGCTGCTGCTTGATTTTCCCGTGGGGGACGATTATGACATGGGGTTTTTTCAGGGAACCGACATTTAGTGCAAACAGTGTTTTGCTGGCTTGGTATGTATATGAATTTGGAGAGTTTAGTAGCAGACTAGCAGTTCTCTTCAACATCATATACAGTAAGTAAGCATTAAGAACAAAAAAAAAAAAA